GATAATACGTTGAAGATGCATAGTATTACATAGGGAATAAAGGAATTTCGCAATCAAATCATTGATGGACTCCAGCTCAAATGAATAAATACATTTATGTAGGTATATTTTAATTTATCTAATGCAAAAACATGCTTCAAATTAATTTATATAATGCATATAATCTATATAGTGGCGAATATAATGACCCTAGTTTAAAAAATTCCTAAGGGTAAAAGTTAAGCTAGCTTATTTTAACAATTATTTATTCTTTAAATGTGCATTAATAACCAATACACATAAGCTATTTGATAAAGTATTAATTAACAAAATATAATTAGTTATTAATTTTTTTAAAGATATATGCTTACATACATAATTGTAAACATACCGCCAAAGGCGGGGTATCGGATGTGCTCCTTTACGTTAGGTAGAGAGTATGATGGATATTTTCCCAATAAACTTGCCTTGAGGGGTAAAATTAAATTAACTTATCGTTTTAAGACAACGCATTTTTATTTAATTCATTGGCTGTGACAAGTGAGCTTGCTGTACATAGCGGTTGCGTATGCTGAAATACTTACTTTATTCCTAGGTCAATACCGTTTGTTGGGACGATAGTGGAACTCTTCTTCTCTCTGGTTCTGATGACCGAAAAATCGTTGTCACCAATGTTTTCTCTGAAACTCGTCCGGTGCGTAATTTTTATTTTCTTAACCATTACAGGAGAGCTATTCTCAACGTCTGGTGCCGGAGAGTAACATATTTACCTCTAAGTTTCTTAAATGTTCTAACACTTGCGAAGTATGGTTAATATTTCATTTTAAATAGCAGATTGTCACGGGCTTCAAATGTGGATGCGTTGTCTTATCAAGCGCGGAACCAAAATCAGAACAAATCTCTACTCATTGCCCATTGTTTTGCCATAAATTAGCTGTATACAACGTGAGCCCTTAATTTTTGCATTAAGCTTACTTTATAATTTATTTTGGGATTACCGCATATTTGTGTATACAATATACTGCTATCGATTAATTTCATTTACCATATTAGTAGATAAATATATAGTTATTCACACAAACTAACATTTGAATTTGTTTTATAGCCTAATATAGAAAAATTGTATCGCTAAAATCGTATCTCATTTGGTTATTTTAGGTCAAATTATCCTCAAACTTCATTCAAGGGTTGCATTTGATCGCCTATAATTCATAATATATACATATACATATAATCCTTTTTTTATTGTAGGTTATACCTCTGCCGGATTTTCCATTTTGCTTTTTATCCATATCTCATGATAGATCCGTGAATCTTTACGACATTCGTATTCCTCATTACTTTGGGCGAAACAGTCAATTATGCAACCGTTCATGCTATGCTGGACGATTTGGTGGGCATTCTTCCTCTTGTATAGTTCAAAGACTTGGATTTATGCTTCCAGTTACTGCTGGCGATATTCATCCAACAAAGCTCAGCACATGTATTGCTTTGGCCAGTGTTGATGGCTTTGTAAGGCTTTTTGATCTTCGAAATTTGGTGAAACCCAGTAAGGAGTTTATTACCATCAGATTTAATTCATTTGCTGTGTTATTCAAATATGTTTTTCTTCAGTTTATTATTTTTTGAACGCATACTTTATTTGATCCTAGTTCCATTTGAACTGGAATTTATTCCAAAAATGACGTCTTGATTCTCGACTTTTTAATGAATATTTTTGTACCATTTGGTCCTGACCAATTCCTGTCTTCCATACATTTTAATTGAAACTCAATGTTAGCCTT